CGTGCTCTTTCGTTGTCAGCAGGAGTTGGCATTGGGCAGAATGAGAGCGAAGATCCGCGCACTGAGGAGGAAGACGCTTCATCAAGTCCCGATCGAAGGGCTGGATATTGTGGTCATCACCGAGGCTGTAGTTCAGGTTTCCTGCGCCATGGGTTGCAGTGTTCTTCCACGAGCGACGCCGAGGTGGTGGATGAAAAGGAGGACGGGGCGGGCGTGGGAGGATCCCAGGCAATGCGATGATGGGACGGAGGAGTACTTCTGGGAGAAGTTGCGTATGTCGCCACGTGTCTTTCGGGGGATGGCGATTGCATCCAGTGTGGGCGACCGCCCGCGGGATATGCTGCCGATGTCGATGTCGACCGCAGTCGGTATCGATCCCTTGTCTTCTCTGCTGGAGGCCTTCGATAGAGGTCGGCCATCAACGATAGAGGAAGCACACGTGGAACAACAAAACCACAACAAGCAAAATTGTGACTAGGAGCAGCAGTGGCAACCTTCGGTCATCAACAACACATACGAAAGGGCTGTAATTCTACGATGACGGTGAAGGTCCACTGAACGGCGATGATGAAGGGAGCAGACGGACAGCACGTAGCACATGCACTCTAATGTGTCGTACGCCCTTGCACAATGAGCCGCGCCATGGCCTGCGCGGTGGCTTCGTGAGTGGTCCACTGAAGAGCTGCTCTTTGCCTGCCGCCCGTCCATGCCGACGTCCTTCTTCGCAGACCGCCTCTTACATGTACGTCCAGGCACCCTGCCGAGGATTCGGACGTGGAAGAAGACAACAAGGACAAGCAAAAGGATGACCAGGAGCATCAGCGGCAGCCTTCGAAAGACATCGGCCATGAAAGGCAAGTGGGGAAGGGCAGTAGCTAGACGACGACGGTATACCTCAGCAAACGGCGACGAAGAGGGCTACAAACGGCAGACCGCAGCATGGGACAAACGCCTTGTAATGTTTTTCGTCGCGGAATACAGTGGGCGATTGGAGCAAGGGGGGCTGGCTGAAGTATTCAAATTTGCCGACCGTTCTACCCCTTTGCGTTTGGCGGCACGCACTCCGAGGGAGAACACTGGTCGACGACGTCCGAGGGGGCCGGCCGGCCACCAACGGTTACCGTTGGCGTAAGGTTCCTGGAAGCCAAACGTTGAAGACCCAAGATGTCCGTGCGCTGCCCCGTAGGAACTCCAATGGACCAGCCAACAAAGAATTCATGCCGATGACGGGTGCCCTCGCCGCTCTGATTATCGCGGAATCGCGGATCCTTGACCTCAAAGGGGAATGCCACCAAATGGCTGTAGCCGGAGGACGCCCTGAGGATTCCCCAAGGAAATGTTTTCACATTTTCCCCGAGGATAGGTGGAGGGAAATTTTCCTCGGGGGCCATGTCCCACTTGCACCGTTGAGTTGAGCTAGCTCAACGGTGCGACACGGTTTTCGTGATTAAAAAACTATTTTCTCGCATTTTTTGTCAATTCCATAAAGACCTTTTCGTCAATTTTTTGTATTCTGTGAATTTATTGAAAAAATAAAAGAAGTAAAAGCAAAATCGTTATCATTACTCCCTGTGCCGGAATCTGCAGACCTGACAGATTCGGCATTCTGAGGCCGTGACACTGTGAAGTACGTACCACGTCCAATTTTTTTTTTTTTTTTTTTTTTTTTATGATCCTTCAGGTCCCATTCTGTGCCCAAAATATATTCCGCGAGCTTAACCCAACTCTTCTCATTTTCCTCAACCATAGCCCTGACTGGCCATCTTGACAGCAAGGCTAAATTCTGTTGCCTTGGATCAATCACCCCCAAACCCCCTTCTACCTTGGGCTGGGTTTTCACTTCCCATGCCACCTTCGCAAGGTACCCCTCTCCCTCCTCTCGAGAGGGTTTCCATATATAACCTGCTGCAACTCGTTTAATCCTCCTGTACGCCTTTTCCCCCAACAAGTGGACCACCATGGGGAACAAGAGTATCGAGAAGGCGGAGACGGAGACCACCAACGCACGACCAAAAAGTGATAGTTGGTGTTTCCTAGGCCAGCTTGCGATTCTTGTCGTAACTCTATTCTCCAAGATCTCATCCTGTTTCCCGGATGCTGTCCCCAATGAGATTTGAACCCCCAGCAACCTCTCTGAATCCCTCTCTTTCACCCGACCCATTCCCCAATCACAAGCCAATTCACGGGAGTCTGGGAGGAGGTATATAGACTTATTCCAGTTTATCGAAGCTTCCGATAATTGGCAATAATCATCTAGTACTTTTTTAAGCTCGCCCAACGAGGACCTGGTGTTCTTACAGGCTAGAGTTAGATCATCAGCCAAAACGTTACCTTTCCAATCTAGAGTAGATGAAACTCTCAGACCTTCAATGTTATTATTATAGCGAATATTATTTAGCAGAACGTCCAATTTTTTTTTAAGGGTACTGCCTTCTCCCGATTCGTGTCAATGTGGGCCTCGCTGCACTACTCTTCAAATGCAAAAAAGACAAAAATCATGCCTCTGTATCTTTCCATGTTCTAGTGGAAGATTCACTCTCGTTTTGCACCTTTCAAGAGTAGTGCAGCGAGGGGGAAGACGGTACCGGAGCACGGGCCATCATCGAATGACTATCAGTGATGATGGCCCGCGCTCCGGTACCGTCTTCCCCCGAGCACAGGGCACCCTCATTGTGGCTGTACCAGGTCTCACACGCCTCATTCGATGCTCTTGATCTACGGTTACTATCGCGTACTGCCTTCTGCTTTGCCTACCCAATCTGGGCCCAGGAGCCTGGTCCCAATTGCAGGGGTTGGGAGGTATTGGCTGTAGATCTCGGACATCTTCAATGAAAAGCCTCGATAACCCATAACCCAGCCCGTGCCGCTGAAGGATACACCCATGAACTGTTGACAAGGAGACTCGAGTACCAACCCTGATGATGATCAAGGATCAGGTGGGCTTTGGCCCTTTGGTCGGCCAGTTTGCCGATAATACCTCAAGGGTCATCAGCCTTTTCCCGCAAAAATGACGAAAAAAAAAAAAGGTGCTCACCCTTTTAGGCGAAAAAAGAGAATTCAAACCAAAAGAGGGGCCGGTCAGTTTGACGACGATACCCGGAAAAAAAGGAAAAAAAGAAGTTTGACGATGATACCTCAAGGCGTCCATTTGGATATCCATCAGGGACGTGGGCTACCAGGGCTGCACGGTCGCCCGGATCTCTGCCTGCTTGGGGCACCTCTGCAGGTCGCAAGCAGGCACCTCTGCAGGTCGCCCGGCCGACTGCCTGCCCGGGGTGCCCCCGGTCAACGTCCCACTAGCAAAGACGATTGGATTAAGTGAACGAATGGATGTTTTTCACGTAGAGATGCAGAAGAGCAGATCAATCTGCGATGTTATGCACCTCTCTAAGAACACGTCCAGGCGTTACATTCAATCCTCTGTGCCTATAGTGGGACCTCGTCCCCCGGGACCAAGTCCCACTAGCAGTGTTGAGTTTCCTCAACGCCTGAATGTGGACGTGTTTGTGGAGACGTGCAGTTGAGAAAACTCAATTCCATTTCTGCTCATCTCCACAAACACGACCAGATTCGGGCATTGAGGCAACTCAACGCTGCTGGTGGGACTTGGGCGCCGGCCTGTCAGCACTCTGGGATTCTTTCTCTTTTGGGGGGGGGGTGTGGTCGGTGGGACTTATCTGTGCCCACGGCCGTCTTTTTCTTTTTGTGATTCCCTCAACAAATAATCTCTTGTCTACTCGTGGGGAGGGGCTCGTGATTCGTACCGTCACCACGTCTGTATGCGCCGTCTGGAGTTACTGCGGCGGTGACTACCGTACTGGGACGGATGGTTATTTTCCGAGACAGTCGACTGCGTAATGTCAGGACGAGCGAGGTGAGAAGAGAACAGAGAGAAAGGTGAGGAGAGGGAGGGAATTGGAAGAAAAATCCATAGGTGATCGAGTAAACATCATTCAAAAACAGGAGGAGAGAGATCGAGAAGACGATAGATAAGGGGGCTATAGGGAGATCGAGGAGGAGAGAGATGGAGAAGAGCAAAAGAGAGGTGAGGTGAGAGAAAGGCGGAGTACACAGGTAGGAGGAGGAGGTGGAGGAGGCGATCGGATGAGATGCGACGAAGAACAAGGAGCCTGAAGGAGGGGATAGGGGTGATGAAGAACAAGATCGGATACCCCTTGCCTTATGCTTTCTTTTCAAAGTGAGAAGGCAAGCTGAATACCTTTCTGACTCGGCCTTTTGGCAAAAAATAGATAAAGTATACCTCTGCTCCTCTGCTCCTTGGTCAGTTTACATGCGCTAGTACTACGGATGTAAGTGGTTTCTTATTTCTCTCTCTCTCTCTCTCTCTCTCTCTCTCTCTCTCTCTCTCTCTCTCTCTCTCTCTCTCGATCGACCGATCGACCGATCGATAGAAAAAGAAGAAAAAGATTTAGTTGCTCGCCGGTTCACTACAGCCACGACTAGTACCATCGATGATAACCTCTCTCTCTCTCTCTCTCTCTCTCTCTCTCTCTCTCTCTCTCTCTCTCTCTCTCTCTCTCTGTGTGTGTGTGTGTGTGTGTGTGTGAAAAAAAACAAGTGCTTTTCGATTTATCACAGCCCGTGAAGAAATCCACTACAGTAGCTTCGATAGAAAAAAGAAAACAGCTCGCGTCTGAGACATCCTTACTTGCACGAATTCTTCGTTCTTCCCGGACCTTAATTACGAAGGAGATCAACGGCTAGAGAAGAGATCAAAGGACGGATCGGCTTTGGAAGATCAACGAGCGGCGACCGTCTTCACCCAGATAGAACTCACGGTCATTATCGCCGGATCTGGACTGAAAGCTGGTCAAATACAGACTATTGTACAGCTATACTGACCGGGCGTTCTATACGGTGAAGGGGCATGGAAGCGATCGACGGATCGCTTCCAGAACCTCACATTTCTAAGATCAACGAACAGCTACAAAGGCGGTGAACTGATCGATTCCCGAAAGCCGATTTTACGAGGATCGACGGCTACTGTAGAGAGAAAGAACCATTGTTACAACGGAGTCCGATCAACCGAGCCCATTTCACTTCCTTGTTCTGCATATATGATCGGGGAGCTGCGGGAAAAAATGGACAAGCAAGGTGGAGGTAATGCAGAGGAGAGTCAGCAGAAAGAAGTGAAAGTTCCGTGGCGATCAAGGCGATGCGAGGAGAGGAAAGCCGCCGGGGAATCGACAACAGACTGCTCCTGGAATCCACAGTCTTCTTCGCCCGACTCTCCAATCTCACACAGGAGAAGGACAGACTTCTTCTCTCCCTCAAGATGGACAAGAGGAGATGCAGATGATCGGCAACGGGAAATCTCAGCAGCAGCAGCAGCAGCAGCAGCAGCAGGAGGAGGAGGAGGAGGAGGAGGAGGATTTCGCCGTTGCCAGCCTCCACCTACGTCGACATTGTTTGCCGGGGACAAGCGATGGTCCTCTTCGCATGCTTCTGCTTCTGCTTCTTCCTCGTCCTTTGCTTCTACTACAGCGACTTTCCGGTCTGGACCCCAGTCGTACGGAACTCCCAACCTGAGGAGATGCCTGACACCTCGTGCGTTCGTACCCGGACGACGGCCGGTCCTCTTCTACTCCAAGGATCATAAGTTCGTGATCATCCCGACTGTGACTCTAATCGAAGGGGAGACAGAGTTTTTGATGACGTCAACGGCTCCTACTCGACGCCCCAGTATGTACAGCTCTACGACCAGTGGTGGTAGTGGTGAGAGCGAGCTCCCCGGTCGCTTGCGGCCGTTGACGTCAACAGGGGTGCGGGTGCTTATGGATCATAATGATGCTCCAAAGCCGATAACGTCAAGCGTTAATATGTTGTCTGGTCAGGATAACGTCCCCGTATCTGGCGTTGATAATGCCCAGGTTCTCTTGCGTTGGATCCCGTATACCGGGGTAAGGTATTGTCACTTATCGGGTGTATGGCTGGCTGCCCGATCGGGAAGATCATCCGATGATGGCTGCAGGAAGCATGGTTGTGTCTCCATCGGTGAATCTGTTCGAGTCGCTCAATAGGGTCGGGATAGCCGACCCGTTTCATGATGAAATCGGGAACGAGCGCCGGAGATCTTCACATTTACAGTCTGTGGACGAAGCGGGCAAATGCACGACCGGACCATGTACATCCGCATCTGCATCTGCAATAACACCGCCGTCCCCTCGAGCAGGTGGATCCCTATCTGCAATGACATTTTCCGCTGCCATGGAGAATATCTTCGACCGAGTGAGAGGTGCCTTGTTGGCGGCTTTCCGCTTTCTTCATCCTGTGCTGCAAGAGGTTCGTGCCGTCTGTGAGGCCGATTCAGAGATTCCGTCTATGCGCTTAGCGGTCAGAATTGGCCGCAGTGTGTATCACGCGCGACCGCAATCGAGGTACGATTTTATGTTTTTCCTCTTTTCCTTTTCTTTGTCTTGGGACTGCACATGATTGCTTAGCTCTTATTTCATTTTCTTTGTTCTCTGTCCCTCTTCTTTTCCTGTTTCCAATCTTGCTTGTGTTCCGCTGTTTGCCCGTTTTGTTGTCGTTGTTGTTGTTGTTGTTGTTGTTGTTGTTGTTGTTGCTCTCGTGTGTATGTGAATGTGTGTGTGTGTGTGTGTGTGTGTGTGTGTGTGTGTGTGTGTGTGTGTGTGTGTGTGTGTGTGTGTGTGTGTGTGTGTGCTCCGTTTCCCCTCGGAGTACTGTTTAACAACAGCGAAAGAGAATCCACCCATACGTTCTCACATAATACTTCGCACAATCACACCTTTTTTTCCCAGTCCACTGTGAACTCAACTCTAAGTTCTGTAACCATGTATAATGTCAGAAATATGACCAGGAAAGTCCAACCGTTTACCGCCGATTCAACGCTTTCTCTTCGGGTAACAGGTCGTCGTGGTAACCACCAGTTCTTCTACGTGCTGTACAGTCACCTCCTCCGGTCCTCCTCCCCCTACCCCTCTACGGAATGTACAAGCACCAGCTTTTGTACCTGATGTAAAGTCACCTATTCTGATCCTCGTCCTCCTCGTCTTCCTCCTCCTCCTCCGCTGAAACGTGACCTTCTCCTCCTCCTCCGCTGCTGCGGAATGTGCGAGCACTAGTTCTTGTATCGTTGTGCGTGCTAGAGAGTCATGCTCTTCAATCCTCCTGTCCTCCTCCTCGTCTTCCTCCTCGTCCCAAGGACCTCCTTCGCTAAAATGTGCAAGCACCTGTTCTTGTACACGCTGTATAATGACCTCCTCCTCCTCCTCCTCCTCCCGCTCCTTCGCTGGATGTGCAAGCACCAGCTCTTGTGCGTGCTGTATAGTGAAGTCCTCAGCTGAGTTCGATCCTCTTCTTCCTCCTCCTCCACGGAATGTGCAAGCAGCGCCAAGCACCAGCTCTTGTAGGTGCTGTATAGGGACCTCCACCTCCTATTATCATCATCATCGTCATCAAAGATCTTGCTTGCACAGGTTCCATGTACGTGTTTTTCTTAGAACTTAGCTTGCTTACGGGAATCTGAAAGACAGGAAGGGTTTGCCTTTGAACAGCATACATTAAACGAAATGTACGTGTAAAAGCCTACTAAAAGGTGAAGTACCTGGAAGTCCGGTGCTCAAGGAACGGTCATGTATGAAAACCGTGGTCAGTTTGTAAACTGATAACATCCGATCCATGAGAGCAAAATCAGTTCTGAAACAGAATTGAACAACAGCTTTTTTTTTAATATGTCTGTTTTTCCCTGTCACGCTCTCCTTGGTGCTGAGATTTTTGTGCCTGGTTCATCAGATTGATTTTTGCTTTTGCTGTTTTGTGTTGGTGCGTGCAGGACCGGTGCAGTCGACCTGGACACGGTCGGCAGTTTCACCCTCAGAGACTTGGAGGGTGACATTTCCAGCCGCCGCCTCATTAAGACATTTGAGGTTTGTCTCTCCGAGGAGGGCATGGATAACATCATATCTCGGTTCTTGCTATTGGGTGACGGTCCTGACACAGTCCAGCGCAAGCAGAAGTACAGCCTTGCGGTAAGCATCCCCACCCCGTCTCTGTGTGTGTGTGTGTGTGTGTGTGTGTGTGTGTGTGTGTGTGTGTGTGTGTGTGTGTGTGTGTGTGTGTGTGTGTGCTCCGAGTGTCTCTCTCCTCTGGTTGCATTCCCAGATGGAAACCTGAACGAGTTCCGGAGCCAGTCGGTGTACAGGGCGAATCTTACATCGTTTGCAGTACCCACCTCGCCTCCCCCCCACCCCAAAAAAAAAGGAAAAAAGAAAAAAGGAAACGTAAGGGTTGCCCCAAAACCTGGCAAAAACTACGTGGAACTTCGGAGGGTCCAAAGGCTGGCGTGGTGCCTAAGTGGGCCAGGACCGCCAGGTATTATGTGGGACCTTGGCCAGGTTCTAAACGGAACATTGATCATATACCAACTGGGAGATTGGCCAGTTGCTAAGTGGGACCTTGCCTAGGTACGAGCTACTACGAAGATGTAATTCGCCCTTTCATGTCAAGAATTCTCTCCTCTTTCTAAGACTTTTTTTTTTTTTTTTCCCAACTCTTCTCTCATATGCATTAGTGGCTCATTCTTTTTTTCTTTTTTCGTTTTTCGTTTCTTCTTGCAGCTTGATGTACGCACTGCCGGGAAGCAGGAAACAGATCTCCTAAAATGTACTTATCAGCCAGTGGAGGTCAGCCCAGGCCATTTCCAGCTCAAGGTGAAAAAGGTAAGTAAATTTTAAAAATAAACCACACAAAAAAAAAGGGGCAAGTACGTTGAAGTCACAGGTGCACTTCCAAATGGGCAAAAACATCACTCCGTAGGCAGGTTTGTCAAGTCGGAGTGAGTAAAGGCAAGAAAAACAGCTGAAAGGCAACATCCTCGTCGTCCAAGTTCAAAT